ATAATAATAATAATAATAATAATAATAATAATAGTCTTTATTGTTCTATAACAAACATACATATTGCACAAACTAGTTTCCATTAAGTCGAACAAAAGGCGAAGTCTAGTCTGCACAAGCAAGGTTGTGCACACTACTCAACATAACCTATTAACTAACATAAATATTCTAATCCTAAATAATAATTATTAGTAATGACATTTAACCACAAATAAATAGTAGTATTATTAATAATATTGCCGCTCAAATAAAAGTCTTTTATATTTACGTTTGAATGAGTATATATTGCTCTCTTTTATATCTTGATCCAAATTATTATAAACATCGCAAATTTGATAACTAAATGACCTCTTAAACATCTCAGTATTTATTTCTTGAGAATTTCTAGGTGAGAAACAGAAACCAGACGAGAAGTAATTGTAAACGTACGTGACATACCATTTTTAGATTCAGGAATTGTAACTACAATAATGTCATCGAAATTTTTGAAATTGCCGTTGTTCAAAATAAGTTTCTCTTGTAAAAACGTTTGACTTTTTCATTCTTACGTTTCAAAAATGCTCTCAGTTTGGGGTATTTTGATATATCCACACTCTCCTCTATGAAAATAGTTGACTTAATCATTGAGTATTCACTCCACAAACTCGCCGGTGACTTTAAAGTTATTAACTTCTCCATGAAATATGCTAACAGTGACATTTCAGAAACACATGTATTTTTGTTCTGGCACCATTCTTTGAAATTTTTATATGCTCGTCCGTAGCGCACTTTCGACTTCTCGGGCAATAAATATTCGCAGGCAGCATTTGCTGCACATTCTATTTGAAAATCACTCATTTAGAAATAATAATTCAAAACCAGCAAAATTGCAACTTTTATTTAACTTTGTTTATAAACACTTAGAAATGACAAAATCCAAACAACCAAGGCGACTTTGCAAGATTTCAAATAATGTCAAAATTAATTGATTAAGAAATGTCAAAAAATAAAACCTAATCTTTATTTCATGAACCATCTTTATGGTTCACAGTTCTTTAACTATGGGAGCAGATAAAATGTTATAAATAACTATTAAAATATGGTAAATTTGATTTATGGAAGAATTCGTACTGAAATTTGTTATATAATCTTTCTTACCCAATGGTAATCCCAATGGTTATTTAGTAACGAAGGAGGAAGGCTCCTCGCTGGGTTAAGAGCGGCTGATGTGAACGGTGCCTGCAACATATCGAACGTTAATATTTTGTACAGGGTGTAACTAACATATTTGGCCAAATTTCAATGGCGAATTTTTCATCATAAGTTAAAATTGATTTATATCTCCGAGACACTACACTACTGGAAAAAATTATGGGAACAAATAAATTTTTTAATGATTTTTGAAAGCCTGCATATAAGTGAAAAATGATCGTGTCGAGATAAAAAAAGTATTTTGAGGCTACAGTTATAGAGCAGTCAAATAAATACCTCGAGAATTTTTTTTTTTCGGTCTCCACGGAATTTTTTTCGAATTCAATCAATGAAAAGGTCAGATAACTTGTTGATTCAGCTTCAATTTGCTTTTTGAAAGGATCCGTTTACGACTATTGGTTGGCTAGAAATCGATAGTTGAATGAAAAATAACACCTTTGCCTTTAATCATCTCGGCAACAAATTATTGTACAGCAAATCCATGGCGGCTTTGACAATTTCTTTTTTCATCCTTGACATTAATTTCAAAACTTTTTACGGTTTTTTTATAAACTGGGATATTTGTCTTCAGATATAAAAGACCAAAATTTTTACAGCTCAATATATCCACAGTAACCCTATAAATTGACAAGTTGATCCATCGAACCGTTTTCTGTTCCAAATTAAATGATTAAAGTTTTGGAAAGAATTAAAGAATCAAGCTAACTGACCTATGCAGTTTCGGTGAAAATAGGCCCGTGGATTGAAAATTGAAATTTTTTATCTCGTGCTATTATCGTGCCTATGGTTGTGCATTAACCGGAGCTCAAAAAATTGTTTTGTCAAAAGATTTTGAAACTTGAAGCTTGAAACTGCTTTTTTTATCTCGATACGACCATTTTTCACTGAAATACAGCCAGTCAAAAGTAACGAAAAGTTTAAAACATTTTTTTTGTTCCCTTAATTTTTTCCCGTAGCGTATTTAGAGAAGTTTAATATTAGGGTATCACACATTTACGTTTTATATTAAGAGAATGTGGTGGCCGTAATTTTAAAAATAATTTTGACAACATATGTGAGATGTTTTATTTCAAAATGTAATTTGAAACATATAATTTGTTCTATACCCTGTATCTTCAAAAGATTCGTAAAATGTTCAGTACAGTAGAGTACATTTGACTATTGTATTCCTATTTTGAATATTCACAGATAATCCATACCATCTTTTAAAAGTGTATAGAATATATAAAATAAAATAATCAAAACATATTGTTAATTGTTAAATATAACTTATGTATCATGTAGAAGTCCAGATCTTTACAATTTATTATACTTTATGAGCTGTAAACATTTACATTACTGGCTCGCTTTGTGTTCGACACGACTATTAACAATAATTTTACAATTAGACGAACTTTAAGATTTGTTCGCTTTATTGATCTACCGCTACAATTACTTTTTTAGTTTCAAACGTTAGAAACAGAAAGTATCTACTTACCGCCGCAAAAATAAATCCACTAATTGACAGTCCAATTCGTAATGGGGAGGAATCGATTTTCATACTATTCTTAGTGTCCATAGAACCAGCGACAACTAACATTAGAACAAAAGTGACAGTGAATTCTATAAAGAACGCCTAGAATGTAACATTCATACATTAATTCAGCAAAATGAATTCAGTTACTTACTTGAATAAACGTTACACCATATGCTAGCTTCAATACACATATCTGGTAACCACTGGGCATCATTGCCTGAAATTTGATTACTAAGTCAATTTTGTAAATCAAATATACAGGGTGTAACAAAAATAAGGTTACAAACTTCGCCAGCAGATAGAAGACTTAAAATTAGTAGGGGTACTTCATATAAAATTCTTGCCTAAAATGCTTCCTTCGTGATATACAGGGTGTTGAAAAGTTGAAAGAATTTTTTTTCAAATATTTTAAAAATGGTAGGAGGAAATAATCCTAAATTTGGTACGAATACGACACTACATACCCCTCATAATCTGAAGCCTTCAATGACTAACAGTGTAATCCATGTGCGGAGATATGGGGAAGCTGAACCCCTTTTTTCTTAAATATTTCTACCCCACTGACTGTAAAAAAAGTTAGGTGAATTTCTAAATTGCCTATTCCCTATTGCAAAAGTCTAACTTCATTTTTTTTCGGGCAAGCCTTCGTTCTCTAGCTCCGCTAAAAAATTGCTGTTCCTACTGTACGGTAAAAACACATATTTTTCTTCAGAATCAAGCGGTAACCGTATTTTGGGTCCATTTTTCATTGAAGGCGCATTAACAGGTGAAAAATATTTTGAATTTTTAAGAGACGATTTAGTCCCTGCACTTGCGGTGCTTTACCCAAATGACGTAGATCCCGATCTGCCCAATAACACGATATGGTGCCAACAAGACGTTGCACCACCTCATTTTGCAGTGATCGTTCGCGACTATTTAAACCAAATATTTGCTAACCATTGGATTGGTCGAAGAAGAACTATCGAATGGCCCCCTAGATCTCCGGATCTCACTCCCCTAGACTACTTTTTATGGGGCTATTTAAAGAACAAAGTCTATTTCAATAGACCAAATACCATTGAAAAATTAAAGGACAGAATTCGCAATGAAATTCGAGCCATTCAACCATATATTCTTGATAAGGTTCTGCAGGAGTTTCTGTGGCGGATGGGATATTGTCAAGAAGTAAATGGAGGTCGCTTTGAAAATTTCCTCTGATTTTCTTGTTTACTTTAATTATTTATCCTTTGTACAGAAACCTTTTCTCATTTGTTAAAATTGTTGTTGATTGATTATTACTTAAAAAATTAAACAAATTGTCATAAAATCTCTTAAAATGTTCGATAAGCTATTAAAAAACTTGACCCACACGATACCTTGTACATGGTACATTCTTGAAACTTTGGAACCGAATACAGTTTAAGTTGTGTCCGATACGTGAACGTATACGTAGAATTTGACCGTTGCGCATGCTTAAATTCGTATCATGATCATCTACAATCAACTTAAACTGTCTATTATCTCGAAAACTTCCATCTTGAAGGTCATACGTTTTTGACATATTCGTACTCAGAAAAATGTGCTCTATCGAAATCCGTGGAAAAAAATATGGGTTGCCATTTAAAAAAATTGCCGATGACGTCATAGTTCAAAAATAAACAAAACAAAAAAAAGTCAATGGCTGAAAAAAGTGACATTTTTTAAAATAAAGTTGACGTGTCCGAGGATTTCCTGTCAAAACCCTTCAATAACGATTTATCGAATTTATTCCAAACTTTACGAGCTCAGTGTACAGTGTATATAATATATTGGTAAAAAAGAATTTAAAATTTGTGGTTTAAAAGAAAATATTTAAAATCAGGATTCAAATACAAGATATTGAAAATAAAGTGCAATAAGTTATAAAAGCAGAGTACTGCAAAAAATAAGAAAAATGGTTCTTATGTTCAATGACCGCAAATTTATTTTTGTTTATATCTTCCAAACCGGTTCTTCTCAGAGCATTGTCAGTTTTGTTATTAAATAAGTCAAATTTTTAATGTCAGACTTGTATCCAAAATGTATTAGTGGTAACTGATAACTAGTAAAAAATTAATATAATTTATATAAATATAAAAAATTACGTATACAGAAAACTCGAGAAAAGCTTTCTATTTTATAATAAACGCTTAAGACCTTATGATTAGGTAAATGGTCTTATTTTGGCCCCAATAATATATGACGAATAGTTTTTCATTAAAATTTACTAATGTATCTTACTGCAATAAATATAATAAATATTTACACCATGGGATTTGGGGAATGTGATTAAAGAAAAATTTTAAATTTATTAATAACTAGACCAAAAGTTGTCAAGCAGAAAGATATTAACAATGATGGTGTATAAATGAACCTAGTAAATGCGCTGCTAGAATTTACTGAAAATTTTCCAAGATCTACTGTGGGGTTACTTTTACATGGTAAGTTTAAGTAATGCTGGTTTTTGTGCACAATATACCTTTAAGGCAGCATATCCAGCCATTCCTCCCAAATACTGAGCCGGTAAATATACCAGAAACATTTTCCAGTCCATTTTCCCTAAAATTAATATGCCCAGTGATACTGCAGGATTCATGTGGCATCCTGTAATGTGACCTACTACCTAAAAGATTGATAAAAGCTATATATAAAAAAATTATAGACAATCATATATAGGGTGTTAGTTAAGTATGTACAATAAATTCAACAGAGTGATTTTAAGATAATAAGTTCTGATAAACATTGGTCCGCAGATGCTTCGTTTTCAAAATACATGGTGTTAAACATTTGTAAAAAAATTGCTATTTCGCAAATATCTTAAATACGTTTTACTCAATTTTGTTGTAATTTGGCAATGTTATTTGTACTTTGTTATTTAGATGTTACATGTTATTAATAAAAAATTATAAAAAAAATGATAATTTCTAAAAGAAACTATTCCCAATGTTTCTTGTGTGGTTCAGGATATGCAATTAAGTGGATTTTATTTTTTTTCGACAAAAATTAATCACGATACGAAAAACATTCAAGAGACAAAAAAGTTGTATTTTTAGTTGCTTAATTCAAAAAAATATATAAAAATTACAAAAAAGTCAGTGGCGTACATTTTTTTGTCAAAAATATTCGCTAAGGTACCGCTCGGGACGCTACTGGACTTAAATCTAATCAAGTTAGGGTTAAATTAGCCCCTTAACACTACAAATATCACTGCAAAATAACAACAAAATTGGGTAAAGGGTATTTAAGATATTTACGAAATAGCAATTTCTTTACAAAAGTTTAACACCCTGTATCTTCAAAATGAAGCATCTGCGGACTGATGCTTATATGAACTTTTTGTCTTAAAATCATTCAAATAATCGTCTGTTGAATTTATTGTACATACTTAATTAACACCCTGTATAGTTATTTAGCTTATAAAGTCAATGATAATAGTCTCGGATTCTTATAATAATAATACAAAAAGTATGACAAATAAAAATTGCATCGATTTGATTTTTTTTAATATTTTCAATAATGCTAATTGTCCCGTTTATTCCGAGCGTTACAAAATTTCATTCTTCGCAAATGAAATACTCTGTATCCACAGGGTATTTTATTTGAAATACCACTTTACAATGCCACCGGCATTAAAAATAAAATTTAAAAAAGCCATAAGCAGAGGAGTAAAGGGTTCAATTTGGCATAAAGATATTTTCATATTGGTAGATAGCGCTGCTGTATAAAGAATTCAATATATTTTTTTCCTAGGTAATCGCCTGTTTTGGTATAATCAACTATTTGTCAGATGTTTGCAATGCTATTAGCTATTTCTTGACAAAAATAACATTGGTAATACAAGTTTTTGAGAGATTTTTATTTTACATAGACACGATTCGGGGCGTTACACGTATTTTTTTTATAATATATGAAAGTTATCATCTCTCATATCCGTTCAAACGATGTTGAACGGTAAAAACAATGGTTCAATCAAGTCTGTTACTGCTTTTTCCACCGCTGCCATGGAAAACAAGACACTTTCAATGTATACAGGGTGTTTCTGAAATAAGTGCGTTCCTTGAAAAGGTGATAGAAGGCACGAAAATAAGCGACTTTTATTAACCCATCAACGGCCAAGGGTGCGTAAACGCACCCTTTTATTTTAATTTTTTTTTAGATCATCCGTAAAATTCTATACTTTCCTACCTACAGAATCTTATGTCAACAGTCCAGAGAGTGTACTAGTATTTTTATTTAATTAAAATTAATATTGTTTAAATATTATTTTTTTAAAGAAAATACGATATTTAAAACTTCAGAACACATTTTCAAACATATATTGTTCTGTTAGTAAAAATGAGCAGACTATTTTTTTTGAGCCAGGCGTAAATAAAAGATCTATTTTGATACTCATGTAGTTTTTTTACATATGTTTTCAAAACGATGGTCATAATGATACATATATGTAGTGGATGCGTATGCGCACCTTTGGCCGATAACGATTGACATATTTATTCATTCCTATGCAAGTCTGGACAAATCTTGGCATATAAAATACAGGACTTGTCAGAACATATATCAGTTCATTATTAGCAGAGTGTACTTCTTGGTTTTCCTTTGTGTAAAAAAGTGTAGTTTTGTATAAAATATTGTTTGAACTAAAGTTTTTTGTAATGCATAATAGTTATTTTTTTGGATACATCTAGTGCCAATATGAGGTAAGAGATTTTTGAGTTGTATAGAAGCTATAGAGGTATAATTTTGTTTATATTATTGCAGTCATTTGGCAAAATAGAAAATGAAAAGGGCACTAACCACTAAAGAGTTACTTGCTTTGTTAGAAGAGGATTCAGACTGTGAAAATGCTGAATTGGTTGATATTTTTTATGTGCCGCCACAAACAGATGAGGAAAACTTTGATGAAAATATTATTGGAGAAGAGGAATTGCAGACGGATAATGGAGGAACGTATGAAATACAACCAAGTATAGATAGTGATGATGATTTGGAAGATGACGTTTTTAGTTTTTTATGTGAAAATGTTCAAAGTAAGCTGAATGCAAATGCACTTTACACTGTGCGCACAACGAAATCTCAGCTAAAATTTCTTTCTGATTTAGCACTCTCTTTAGATACAGAAAACAGCGATGTTGCTTCAAATACCGCAGTATTCAACTGAACCCATGAAAGACCCTCTCAATCCGCTCTACCAGGTGAAGTCAAATTTGACAATATGGGGCATATTATATAATAGGGAGGTTAATAGTGCAAGAAAAAAGTGTCGATTTCGCAAAAATAATACTATTTATTTGTGTAAAGTGCATTTGCATCCATCTTACTTTGAAAATTTTCACATAAAAAACTAATTTAGTTTTATTAATTTTAATAACTGTTTTCAGCCAAAGGTGCGTATACGTACCTACGTGTTTTTTTTCAAAATACTGTTTATGATTTTTTTCAATAGTAAATTAGTCTTAATGTATGTGTGTTGAATATACTTTAATAAAAAAAAATTATTAAAAAATGTGTTTTTCTTGTTTTAGCCTGTAATGGGTTAAGCAACTGATAAAAAACGTTTTAAATTGAAAAAAATTTCCACACAAAGGTTTAAACAAATTTGAAGCCATCGCTATTGCGGCAGTCAGCTGTTCCTTTAATATCGAAGCTGGCGCGCGCCGCAGTGCGAAAGCGCTGATGGCGGTTTTGACGGTTTAAATTTTGAGTTCGGAAAAGTTGAAATTTATTAAAATCTCATTTAAAGGTAACACAAAAATTAAACGAATAAACGAATGGCTTACCAATAGACGATATGCTCTACAAAAATTATTCAATGATGTTTCCATGTGCTAATAAACATGCTTCCAAAACGGCGATCAAAATACTGTCACCAAAAACACCACACCACACATTCAATGAAAACCGTTGATGGAATTGAAATCTCTGTACAACGTGAGGATTTGCGTCACACAAAAAGGAAACCTGGGAAAAATTAAGAAGCCCGCCCAAAGAAAAAAAAAATCAATCCGAAAAAACAACTTGGTTGGAAAAACCCGAACCTCGGCCAATTGGGGGCAAAAACAACGGCAAAAATCCAAAACGGGCCAAAAAACAATGGTAATTAATGCATGAACTCTTTGTAGGGGCGTAATTAGGTTAAGGTTAAGTTTAAAGAGGTGTAATAATTGTTCCCGCCACACGGTACTGTTAGATACACCCACTTCTCGGCCAATGTCGCGAGTAATACTGCAACACACAATGCACATGCACAAGATGCACAGGGTCGGCTTACATATACGATTAATTTTCTTAATAAATTTTCTCCAAAACAGAAACATTTAGACCATCAGTGGCTTAATAAAAGTTGCTCATTGTTGTGCCGTCTATCACTCTTTTCAAGGAACGCTCTTATTTCAGAAACACCCTGTATATTCGTTACTGACAAAAATCATTTGTTTCTATAAAGTCGTACCTCCAATTTGCAATCTCTACTAGCTTTCTCAAATATCAGAATCATAACTACTTTGTCATTGAGTATATACAGGGTGGCCCTTAAGTAATTGTACATAGAAGTATGATAGATTTGTGACTATAAAATATTACGATTTGAGCCAACTTGCCTTAATAAAATATTGATAATAAGAAAGATACAAGGTGTCAAAAGTGAAATTTCAAAATTTATTTTTCGCAATAACTTGAACATTTTTGGACATTTATACAAAAAAAAAATTATCTTGGGGTTTTTTGGTATGAGAAATCATAATTTGATATCTAATTTAATGTATCTTTTAAAGGGCGCCACATAAGCCACATGTGTGGCATAAATGTACACTAAACTTTTTTGCCCATCAAGGTAGCGCTCTTTTGGGAAAAAAATATTAAAGGCACGTCATTGTAAGAACAAAAATGTATCCTTGTTAACAACCTCTAAACTTAACGGTTTTCGAGATAATCGAATTTTAAAAATCGGCTGCATAATTCTTTAATTCATTACGAGAAATAGTAACGTAGTAAACGGAAGTCACGAATGATTTTAACAGTTAAACTTTCTTGTTTTCATAATGTATGACGTTTGAAAAAAGTTTTAATTGAGTATTTATGATAATTAAGGAATAACAGAAAATGCCGAGACAATAATTTCTCTAATACAGAAATGAGAGATATGGTTACTATTTACTGCCAGCAATATTTCAACGGACGTACTGCGAAATGGGAATATTTCAGAAGATATCCAAACAGGCTGCAACCTAATCACCAAACATTTGAAAATCTATTTAGGAATTTAGGCGAAAGTGGTTCATTTCCTCCTAAACGTGATAATTTAGGCCGACCGGGAATCATTACGCCTGATCAAGATGATGAAATTGGTTCACGTTGCAGATGATCTTCAAGTTAGTACAAGAAGGTTATCTTCAGCTTTAGGAATCAGTAAAACTTCAGTTTTAAAAAGACATCTCGATAAACATCACCCCTACCATTTTACGCATGTGCAAAGTTTATTGCCAGCAGATCTACCATTAAGATACCAATTTGCAAGTGATATCCGAAATAGGCAAAATCTTGACCCCACCTACCTTAATAGAATATTATTTACGGACGAGGCAACATTTAGCCGCCGTGGTATTTTTAATTTAAGAAATAACCATATCTGGGAAATTGAAAATCCTCATTTTAAAAGAGAAAGATATTTTCAACACGAATTCAAAATAAATGTATGGTGTGGGATCATTGGTGACCATTTTTTAGGGCCATACGATTTCCTGCATACTTTGAATGGTGAGAACTACTTACATTTTTTACAAAATGACTTCATTAATCTTTTGGAAGAATTGTCACTAAATTTCAGGCAAAATATGTGGACATACAAGATGATGCACCTCCTCATTATATGAGAGAAGTCGGAACATATTTAAAGACCAAATTTCCTGAACGCTGAATTGGTCGTGGTAGTCATTTCCCTTGGCCAGCACGTAACCCAGACTTTAATCCTCTCGATTTTGGCGTATGGGGCGCAATGAATCAACTTGTTTATAAAAGTCCCAGAAACACTCGCAACCAACTTTGGAAAGAAATAAATGCAACTGCAGTTTCTTTTTTGGACCAATCATGTTATTTAATATGAGGCCATCTTTTATGGAACGTATGGATAAATGCATCGAAGAGAATGGTGGACATATCGAATACTTACTTTGACATAATTAAACTTGTAATGTTAGTTAGCTTAGTGTTTTCTTTTCTTAATATGTGTAAAATTCATTTCTAATTATGATTATTTAGCTTATATTTTAACTGCTTTTTAATTTTTAAAAATTTTTAAATTTTTGATGTCAACACCTACTATTACGTTAATATTCATCCATCATTGATGTAGAAACATGATAAGCTTATACGATTTCTACGTTAATATTTCTCGTAATGAATTAAAGAAGAATTATGCAGCCGATTTTTAAAATTCGATTATCTCGAAACTCGTTAAGTTTAGAGGTTGTTAACAAGTATACATATTTGTTCTTACAATGCCGTGCCTCTAATATTTTTTTCCCAAAAGAGCGCTACCTTGATGGGCAAAAAAGTTTAGCGTATATTTATGCCACATATGTGGCTTATGTAGCGCCCTCTAAAAGATACATTAAATTAGTTACCAAATTATGATTTCTCATACCAAGAAACCCCCAGTTAAAAATTGTTTTGTATAAATGTCCAAAAATGTTCAAGTTATTGCGAAAAATAAATTTTGAAATTTCACTTTTAACAGCCTGTATCTTTCTTATTATCAATATTTTATTAAGGTAAGTTGGCTCAAATCGTAATATTTTCAAGTCACAAATCTACCAAACTTCTATGTACAATTACTTAAGGACCACCCTGTATATTAAATAAATACAGTAAATATGTATAAAAATAATAAAGTACATACCTGTATGTCGATAATTAATGAATGAACTTTGAAAGTATTCTATTTTCCGCGGCAACGCAACAAAATCAATACCAACTTGATCTGCTAATGTTCTCTACAAATATATATCATCGTATATTCTTTGAAAGGCGAGAAAAAAACTTTTTTAATAGAAGTTGTAGAATTAGAGGATTTTTTTTCCGATCAGTAACGTAAAATTTAGATAAAATACCCCGTTAGTCGTAAAAGTTGTTTCATTGCTATACAATGTGAGTTTTTTCGATGTTTAGTGTAGGGATCTGGGAAAGTAGCAGAGATACAAAAAAGTTTAAATGAGGAAAGATGTGCAGTTTTATGATCATAGTTAGCTAAACCATAGTTAGCTATGAGCTAGAAAAAAAAAAATGTCTTTATGCATGCCAACCAAAGAAAAAATAGTAGGGATAGTTAGAAAAAAAAAAGAAAGAAAGCCAGCCCTAACTAACTGGCATGCAAAAAAAAAAAAGGAAATGTAAGAAATAAAAAAAAAAAGGAAACACAAACAAACAAATTGAACAAAACGGCCTAATAAAAACGCAAAAAACCGGAAAATAAAATTTTTTTTGTAAAATAAATAGCAACGGAGCTACACGCATATGAAGGAATTAGCCGAATTCGGATTTTTCCAAATATCTAGACAGCCATGACGTTTTTTTCAAAAAATAAAAGTAACATATAATAAGGATCATAAAACTGCATATCTTTCCTCATTTAAGCTTTTTTATATTTCTGCTACTTTCCCAGATCCCTACACTAAACATCGAAAAAAACTCACCCTGTATATAGTGTGTATTTTAATAAAATATTGTCACTGAGACACCCCCCCTGTGCCCATATAAGAACTCCAAGCATCTTTCAGCATCACATTTAAGTTGTTTTTATTTGTTTGTTTATTTCCGAATATTTTAAACTTTCAATTATTTTTTTTATGGAATTTGTTGAAACAAATGTTATTAACTATTATTTTTACATAAATAGTTTAATTTGTCTTGTAGATTAACAATAATTTTCAGGTATATTCAATGCCTTCTGCATTTTTTAACGGAAGCAAAAATTCACTAAATAAAACTTTTGAGGTTAATAAAAAGTTTTTCTTCAATAAAGATTGATGAAATTTGGGCCACAGGAGTTTTAAGTGATGCTGAAGAATGCCACCTTGCCATATTTTTAATAAAAAAAAATCCTAAATTAGTTATCGAAGAAAGTACGACTAGAAGCCCAATACGTATATAAAAAAATCATTAAAATCGCAAGAGCCAACATTTTTTTAGATGGGCGTCCTAGTTCTTAGTGGGCTTAGTTCATAATATCGCTTAGAATATCAGAACATAATAAGTGTGACATTGATATACTGCTTATTATGTCAATGCATTATACAACTTATTATATGAGATACCATTTTATTTTAATTCTAGGGTATTTCATGTAAACATCTTCATTTACTTTCTTTACATTTACTGCGTAGAATATATTTTTTTTTTGTCAATATTATGTGTTAAATATATTTGTGAATTTTCGAGTAGCAACAAAATTAAGTAGATATATCAATAACAGATAAAAACTAATATAGGACAGATCACAAATAAAATATTAACATGTTGCAAATAGAGAAAAAGACTGATGGATGGTGAGTAAAATTTTAAAGTAACTAACGCCAGTTTTTAGTTTAGTAATCAGATGAGCCTAATAAAGTAGTAGGTGTCTATGCTCTTTACTTACTTGAACAGATGCTACAATTGCAAATCCGAAAGCAAATGCCGGTAATATGGGACCACCAGGAAATTCCAACACACATCCCATACAACCAATATACATGAGAATAGCCGTTGCTAAGAATTCGCCCATAAATAATATTACATATGGTACTTGTTGCACTGGAACTAAATCATAAAATATAATATTGCTATTTTATATAGAGTACAGAGTTATCAAGCCAAAGTGTTAATACACTCATTTCTAACTTCCTTGTTTTTAGATATCAGAAAACTGAAATATGATTTATTCACTAATATTTTAGGGTAAATTAATTTCTTCTATTAAAGAACAATTGAACTTTGCATTCTAAAGTTGTCATTACTAACTTTGTACATGGGTATGAGGTGCCATATGTGTAGATAATTTAGACAAAGTTTTGATTGGCTTTGTTCATTGTTTACTAACAATAGTCTCCTCCTAACACATTACCTTATGCACATTCTTTTAGTCATCCTGGAGTAGCATTGGTATAATATGTAGACATACACAAGGTAGGTAGTCCACAAGAAAAATCAGAGTTGATATCTATATCCTGAAATGTGAAGCACATTTTTTTTTTGATAAACGAGATGAGTTCCTCTTGAAAAACTAGTGTATAAATCATATGTTACTTGTTCAAAATCTTTACAGGTACCTAACAAAGTTATAGTCGCGTATGATGACCCTGTACATACATAGGTACAGATACATTTCTTAAATTTAATTTACCCATATATTATCAAAGAATCTTTTATATTTTCCTGAATTAAGAAAAAGGAACTTAAGAATACGTGTGCAATATATTAAACAAATAATTAGTTTTTGTCAACCATAATTTTTGATAATATTACTATATGTATATCGGAGTTTAGGTAATATTTTGACATCACTCAGTTAAAAATCAAACAGAACTCTTCAACCAAGTTCCAAATAAAAAATTTGTAGTATTTTTCGAACAACTTATTTTATTTTTTGTATATTCTAATAATTAAAAATATTTTTTTACATTTTTATCTTAATTGTAATAAAATGTTTAAATTAAAATATGCTTTTAAAAACAAAACAATTATTATTTTTCGTGTCACCCCAAAAACAGCCGAGAAAGATTTTTACTACTAATTAAAAAAAATGTTTGCCAGTTATCTCGACAACTTTAAACAAAGCGAAAATTCATTTATCAGGTCACCACAGAAAAAGTAATTTGAAAAAGGAATTTTCTTTAGGCGTCTTAAGAAAACAAGAGAAAATTAAAAATTGCCTCTATTTGACAAAAACTTTAAAATAGTTTAGTATAAATAAAAATCTGTAAACCAATATAGGTTTTATTTAACGAATATGATGGTACAGTGGGAACCTACAAACTTATACTGAAATAACTCAACACAAGTACAGTGACAGTTGGTTAGCCGTCAACGTCAACTAATAATATATAGGAATAAAACAAAATACGAGAATAGTAAATAGTACTCTCTCTACAAATCATAATTTTATTTTGACCAAAAAATGAGAAAAGTATATTTATTTATTTATTTATTTAAAGTACAGCTGCCCAGACAGATACAAATCCAATTAAAGGGCAGGAGAAACAATAAACGATTACCTACATAAAAAAGCATAATACATGAAAATTAGATTCGAAAATAATTAATTACATAACTACAAAGTGAACACAAAATAGTTTAATAAAATATTATAAATAATTTAAAATTATAACATATAAAATGATGGTCNTTTGCCAGTTATCTCGACAACTTTAAACAAAGTGAAAATTCATTTATTAGGTCACCATAGAAAAAGTAATTTGAAAAAGGAATTTTCTTTAGGCGTCTTAAAAAACCAAGAGAAAATTAAAAATTATCTCTATTTCACAAAAACCAATATAGGTTTTATTTAACGAATATGATGGTACAGTGGGTACATACAAACTTATACTGAAATAACTCAATACAAGTACAGTGACAGTTGGTTAGCCGTCAACGTCAACTAATAATACAGGGTGATTCACAACTTATCCAAAAAAAAATTGGGAATAGATGCAGCATGAGAAATGGAGTCAATATTGTAAAAAAAATTTTTGTAAAATCTTTATAGTTTCCGAGAAAAATTTTTTTTTAAGTTGGACTACTTTCAAACACTGCATCGCTGGACAACTGTAGTCTCTAGCGTCATTCGCAATACGTGTGCGAGCCACGTGGCGTCTGCGACTCCCAATGCAGTCGTCGTTGCGGTAGTGTTTACAATAGCTTTTTAGTACCCAGTTAGTGGCAAAAATGGCTTGTGTATAGCAACTCGGAGTTGATGGATATCGTTTTAATTCATGGTGAAGTGAGACAACATTTGTATTATGGTGAAACATTGGTGTTATGGTGAAGCAGGACAACATTTGTGTTAGTTCATAGAAACTTAGTAAGACAGGATCAAATGTGTTTACACGTCGGTGGACAAAATTTTAAACAGTTATTGTAACATCAGGTATGTCAAATTATTTTATTAATTAAAACCACAAATTAATTTCATTAATTAATAATAACATTAGCGGCAAAATCTGTTGAATTTGCTGATATAAAATAGGTGCTATAAAATTCTATTTATTCCTTTCCTTGCGAAATTCTTTCAAGTTTTTGTCCAGTTTCCAGTACCGTGCAGAAGTGCATTTTTAAATTATTTTCGAACTGCCCTTTTTGATTTTTTCTTTACAAAATCATATTTGTAAGAGTCCCCCGAACATCCAGATTTTTTTTTTGGATAAGTCTGAATCACCTTGTATATAGGAATAAAACAAAATACGAGAATAGTAAATAGTACTCTCTCTACACACTCCCCCTCTGTACTACGCATACGGTCCTCCGGCGAAGTACAGGAAACAGTGGAAGTCTACTAGGTTTTCTTCGGCCGTCCCCTCTTCTTCTTGGGTACCAAAGGCGTTGGTAAGAATTTGGAGGGTTGACCATCTTCTGGTTCTCGAAACTCGGTCAAATCCGAGACATGATATCGTCCAACTATTTCTGTAGGAGCTGATATCGAACTTAGTTCATAAGTTGTGGGTGTTACCAATTTGGTAATCAGGTACGGCCCATCTCGTTTAGGAGCCAACTTCGACGAGATTCCCATTTGGGCATTACTCAAAACATGAGTTTTTAACAGTACTTTCTGTCCTATTTTGTAATTAACAGCAGACTCTCTGATGAGAGTCTCTTTCGATTGGCGAAGCGTATTTTCTAGGTCTCGAAGGTACGGAGTAATTACTGCAACAAAATTGTCGTTGTCTAGAACTTGTCGAAAGTCGTATAGAGTGTCCCGAGGTGCTCGTAGCTCTCTACCAAAGGTAAGATATGCGGGGGTATATCCTGTAGAACTACACACAGTCGAATTAATGGCATATCTAATGCTGGATATATGTGTATCCCAGAGGTGATGCAAATTCTGCGACAGAATAGCTAGTTGAGTCTTGAGTTCTCTGTTTTTACGTTCAACGGGATTACTCTCAGGATGATAGGCAGGTATAAAGGAATTACTTATTCCGAAACAGAACATGACTTTTTGCATTATCTCGCTTATAAATTGGACTCCATTGTCGGATATCATTTTCCGGGGAGTGCCAAACCTGAGGATGATTTCGTTGATGAGGATTTTTGTACACGTCTCAGCAGATGCAATCTCCAACGGGAATAGTTCCACCCATTTCGACGCAATGTCTTCTACAATCAGTATCCAGCGATTACCTTGAGGCGTTATAGGTAATGGACCAAATAAATCTACGGAAATAACCTCGAAACGCTGCGCTGGTGCAGGCGTTTGCAATAATCCGGCAGGCTTCAAGTTTGTAGCATACCAACAAAGTAGTAGTTAGTAGCAATCTTCTGAATCGTTCTGTCTATTCCATAATGTCCGCCCGTAGCAGAGTCATGGACATTTCTTAATATATCTTCACGAAGACTTGCTGGGATCACCAGTTGTGGTTCGTCACAATTGTGTTCAGAATCCCAGTGATAAAGAATACCATTGGCCATTAAATATCCCCTTTCGGTCCACCGAGCCACATTTAATTGGTCTGCTCCTTCCAAGGCTACAATGATATTGTCGAGTTCAGGATCATATTTCTGGTTCTGCCTGAAGTCACCTTTGCTAAATGACGGGAGTTCAATGGTTACATAGGAAATTCCACACGAAGCTATAGCTTCCTGTTCGCAAATTGGCCTTGACAAGGTATCAGCAACGACATTAATCCTTCTGGGTGTGTAGACTACCTTCATGTTTAGACTTTGAATTCGCATTGCCCATCTGGCTAATCTGCCAGAAGGAGATTTAATGGAGAACAACCACTGTACGGGTTGATGATCAGTGGCAATGATTACTTCTGCACATTCTAGGTAGATACGAAACTTTTCGGTAGCACTCCAAACCACTGCTAACGCCTCGCGCTCTAGGCAGCTATAGTTGCGCTCTGCTGGACTCAGGAGACGGCTGACGAATTCAATAGGCCTCTCATCTACGGGCGCCAGTGTAAACCAATATAGGTTTTATTTAACGAATATGATGGTACAGTGGGAACAGACAAACTTATAATGAAATAACTCAACACAAGTACAGTGACAGTTGGTTAGCCGTCAACGTCAACTAATAATATATAGGAATAACACAAAATACGAGAATAGTAAATAGTACAGTGACTCTATACAAGACAGTGGCGACAATAGAGTGTATCATTTTTAATTGGTCCACGTGATTTTAGCTGCCATGTTGCATCCAGTGTCAAATTCATCTGTGAAATATCATGGTGTCAGGAGCGTTCTTATGGTGTTATTCAATATTTGTATTGTTTTATTTTAATTTTGGTGATTACTAGTGAAACTATTGGGTATTCTGTGCTAAAGGATAGTTATANAGGTCTCAAGAAGTTGTTTGATGGTTGGCTTTTAGATGAAAAAACTGTGATATTCACTATAAACGGATAGTGAATGTTACAAACTGAATAGCAACTTTTTTTCTGGTAAAACTCATAACGTTACACTTGGAAATATTCAATGACAACTTATTATTTTGGCACCATATATTTATTTTCGACAACTCTTGTTGTAAACGATAACAATCTTGTAATGATTCAATAGATGCAAATAGCTTCATGTCGTCAGCATATAAGAGGGTA